AGTAAGTTCAATATCTTTAAATCAGATGGCAGGAAATTAGTTTGGAGAATACCATGTACTGCTTTTCATGCCAAAAATGTGTTACCTACAGTTAAACATGTTATGATTTGGGGGTGCATGGCTAGCAAAGGAGTTGGTAATTTGTGTTTCATTGATGGTAATATGACAGCTCAAACTTATACTGATGTGTTGCGAGATAACTTGCCACAAAGTGCAATAAAATTGGGTATCAGTAATTCGTACTATATTCAGCAAGACAATGATCCTAAGCACACTGCCGGTATAACACGTATGTGGTTGCTTTATAATGTAACCAGAAAACTTGCCACTCCACCCACAATCACCAGACTTAAATCCTTTGGACAATTTGTGGAATTCTTTGAATTTAAAAAAAGTAAAAAGGAAGATTTCAAGCAAATCTACCCTTAAACAAGCCCTTATTGAATAGTGGTCGAATACTGACCCTACTGTTACAGAAAATTTAATTAAATCAATGCCAACAAGATTACAAGCAGTAATAGATGCTAAAGGAATGCATACTAAATATTAGTTATTTGAAATTTGCTTTTGTATTCGTGCAGGTGTGCAAATACTTTTTTGATACAAGATATTTTAATTTTGTTACAAAAAAGCATTGTTATTTATATTATTGTAATTTTTCTGTTTTTTTTCGATGATTAAACTTATTCTGATTTCTCAATACCCATTTTTTTATTTATTAATGCTTCTTTTTATGAATTGCAAACATAAATGTAGGTGTGCAAATACTTTTTTTACCCACAGTATGGTTTCTTTTGACATAGTTTCTTTTGAGATCAATTTAATAGACGGGTACAAAGTTTCTTGTTGGTAGAAGGGAAGTAGAATCCTAGAAGTACAAAGCACCAACTAGGTATTACTACTTGAATATTTAAATGTGATATATTTAATGTGAATGTAATTATCCTTGTTAAGCAGAAATAAGACATAAAGAATCGAGTAAATGTTGATGCTGTCAAAGAACTGCAACATCAAAGATTTTTAGAAGGAACTTGGAAAATAAAAATGAAACAAGTAATCGAAATGATAGTAACAGAAAACTTTTGGACTGGATTATCTGATTGTGGCGAAGAACACTAGAGCTTTCTGCCTAAGGGTAACTAACTCACTTTTGCGAATTGTTTAGGAATATAGCTCCACAATATTTTTGTTTCCACCACAATAGAGGTTAGTTAGTGAAGTTAGGGGGTAACCGTGCTCCATCTAAGTAAATCTTCTCACCCATAGGACTTCCAAGAGGAATTGCTCTCTTCACCACTCTCTGTTGGTGGCCTCTAGAAAAATTCCGGAAAACGCCCATAGTTACTTACCCCCTACCGCAGCCCGCCTTAGTTTAATTAGAGCCTCGGTGGTAACATACGTAGGGGGTGGTATCAAAGGTGCTGCATTGGCAACGACTACCGGCCAGAGTTTCCTTCTGGCAACAAATTTATCTCCTTTTACAAGGTACTTGATAACTGCCAATCGTTTTCATCGAAGGGTCATCAGGTGGGAAGATAAATGTTATAAATGGGTGGCAAGCTATAGAGTCTTGCTGATTCTCATCAAGGTCTTGACTGAACCACTTTTTCTGATACATAATTTGTTAATAATTTGATGCGCAATCAGGCCTTTATTGCCCATTTATTTAAGGACCTAATAGACGTTCTTCTGCACGGTAATAAATGCATCAAAAAGTTTACGTTGTTTAATAACTACCTAAACTCTTGGGTGTCAGTGTTGAACTTAATAAATGAATCGAATGAATATTCAAATAAAAAAGAAAACTTAAAAATAAAAAAATAATAAAAAAAATATGGCTGCAATTAACAAAATGTTAAAAAAATATTATTCTGCGTTTAATACTGTAGCTTTTCACACGGGGATTCTGTTAAATGATAGGAAAGTATGATTAAAAGCATTGTCTTTTTTATAATTTGTGCGAGATTACTGAGACCTCTGAACTTCCGAAAATATTTGAGACCTCTGTTTGATTTGAGTTATCCATTTTAGGATATCCTAAATGAAAATCTTATACATTTGTATGTGATACTTTCAGTATTGGAATAGATTTTTGTACGAGATTCCAATGTAGGATAAATATACAGACTTAAATGCATTAATTTTATCTTCATTGTGTGGGTCATTCTTACGATCGTTGAAATTCGCCTGATTCTAAATCGCTGCATTCGAATTTTTGTCAATAAATGAAAAACTTTAATATTGGTTTTGAACGAATATGCAAAGAACATTTTCCCCCTTGTTTTCTTAAAAAACTTGTTTGAATGAAAACTGTAATGATATAAATTCGAAAATTCAATACAGAAATATTCATCTGACCATGTTAGATTTTACGAATTATACCCAGAGATATACTTTATAAAGTTTATATACCCAGATAGCTACCTTTAGTTACTACCTAGATACCTTTGCCAGATAGCTACCTAATACTAGTATAAAGTTAGTAAATGCTATTTAAATGTTTCGATCTATTTTTATAGAATTTAATTTTTATTTAATTTCTTATGCTATTACATTATACTATAAAATGCACCACATTAATTTCACTTAGTATTTATCGGTTTATTTAAGTTGTGTTCAATTTAAAGCAATATACGCATGTTTAGTTTTAAATTTTTATGCGAAATTCTTTTTGTTTATTGCATGGCCCGATTATTTTTTCCTGTAATTATTTCATTTCTTCCTTTTTTTAATGTTATTATAAACATTAAAACAATACATAAATTTTCTATTAATAAATTCATCTCAGATGCATACAAAAACTAATTCATAAATTTAGATTTTTAATAAGCGTGTTATAAATGAATGATTTGTAAGTTACTTTATTTGTAATTTTTCGGATGTCTTCTCTTTTGTAATTAAGATTTGCTTTTTGACAGTATAAAATAAAAATAATAATTTCTCGTTGCGTGCTTTATACTCAAAGAACTTTAAAAAAAAAAATAACATTCTATATAAAATTATAATTCTGTTCAGGCTGTTTTACAATCTCTAGATTGAATTTTAGTCATTTTTCTTATATTTACAGCTTTATATTTGACATGAATTATAAGAATTTTAAAATACATTTATTTCAGTTTCCTTTCTCCCCCCCCACCTAAAATTTATGTCATTATTTTATCACAGAAATGTTTTATTTTCTATTGTTATTTGCGGAAATAACTTTGTCTTTTAGAATACATCAAGTATTCTGAGATTCTTCAATTAAATAATTATCTTATTTTTTAGACCATGAATGCTTTGAATAGTGTATTTGAAAATTAAGTATATTAGATAGGTTAATTTATTTTTATATTAATTATTTACGGATGGAATTACTTTAAAGCCATCTTTTATCACTGTTTCAACTGCTTATAATTGAAATTTTCTGCCTGGCTGCGTCAGATGCAGTAACATTTTAGCAACTGGCTCTCTCAAAAATTCGTTAGCATGTCGCGTTATTTAGTGTGAGATTTGGATTATGTATAGTAGATAATTAATAGAATTCCATTGCAAAGTATGACCCCCCCCCAAAGTTGGGCAATTGTTATGTTTTGCATTATTAAAAGTCTTAAATTTGATGCTTTCACAAATGCAACCATATGGTCCATTTTCTAGTCAAATGAAATAGTTATAAAGATTTTAAAAAATGATTACCTCCTATAAACAAAGAATTGCTATCTTAAATTCATATTTTCTTTAATATGAAGTTGATTTCTGTTCAATGTTTTTGTTTTCTTCGTAAATAACAAGACGTTAATTAATGAATTTTAACTCGCATAATAAGATCATGGTTTTAAAAGTAATAGTTGTTGCAGAATTTCCCTTTTATTCAGTGCATTGAAGATTTTATTTTAATTTAGAAACATAACTGAAATTGTAATATGTTTCCCCTCGAAGTTCGGCCCACGCTTTAGTTATCGAGACTGAATTAAAAAGTGTATTTATTTATGCACATGTGTATGTATGTGCGTATATGAGTATGTGTATACACACACATACATGAACACATATATCCATGTATAAAGACGTAACGTATACTACATTTCTGAATCCAGTCCCCCGATAACAGAAGAGTACCTGATATTATTTTTGGAGCATACTCATATTAAATAAAATTCTTAGATTTGTTTCTTCTGTGTGGTAAATTTGCGAAGTAGGTTATAACGTGGTATGAAAATTAGCCGGTATATTTTTTGCGTAATCTTTTTGTCATATTTTCCAGGGATTCATAGTGACGCATAAGCGGGTGTTAGCAAGGCGTCGCGATTATCCCACGCCTCTTCTATTCTGCAGTGAAATTCCTTAGTCTTTGAATTATGAGTCATCGGGTTTTGTGGCCTCAAAAATTTCACGCCTCGACTGTCAATGTCACTTTCAAACTGGCTACATTTATTATAGTTTCCACGCCCCAATGCTGGCTGGAAAACAAAAAGAATTTTATGTTCGATGGCTTTCTTGGGCGGAGTGCGGCTCCTTCAGACAGTGTCATTTGCTAAGCCACTTTCGATACCGCCTTCGGAACTTGTGTAAACTCCGCCTCTTTCTCTCCTTTCTACCCAATTGTTTATATCTTCTCCCTGGCTCTTTTCATTCAACTCGAAACTTAGTATCAACGCATGCGTGATGAATGTAAAAAGTTTTAGTATGACAAGTTTCATATTTGTAATGTGGCGCCATCTATAGGTTGAAAGCTGGACTCGAATGCTCATGATTTTTTCGAGTTGTAGTTGTTTAATCTAACTATAATCAATCTAGCTTGTTTCTATAACTTTTCAAGCCTTTTCTTGCACTTGAAGTGCGAGTGCTATAATTATCATAAACTGAAAATGCAATTAGCTTTCTTTGACATTTACTTGCGTACTTTTTAATGAATTTAGAAGACCGAGAAGCATTTCAAACGAAGATGATTGCAAAATCTAATTTATAGGCAATGCTTTGTATACCGAGTTATATATTGTAGAGATGTTGTCCAAAATGAAATGCAGGTTCATTCTAGAACTATCACAATCCAGCTTATCTCTGGTGGTAGTAAATCTGAACCCCTAGGTTTCCTTTGAGATCAGTGCAACGTAAAATATGTGCTCAATAAAATGTGTCTTATTTTCTCATTACGTGAGTTGAATTCCGTTTCGTAGGGGCTGCTATATGCTTATATAATGTATTAGATGAAGCAAGAATTGCTGTGTTGTTAAACAACATCAAGCCTGCATCCCGTCTACACTTTTAACTAGAAATAACAGTATTTACATTCATATATAAAAACAAATCACATTACAATATTTATTGCCAAAAGATTTTTAGATTTGTAATTAGGTAAAGATTTAAAGTTTTTCACTACAGTCTGAAAATCCGTAAAGTGTATTGAAATTTGCATACATACAGAGCCAGTGCAGGATTTATGTGTAAGCTGCACAAGCTATAGCTTAGGGTCCCCACTTTGTTGGAGGCTCCCGCAAAATTAAAATATAGTATAACAGACTTATAAAGGGCACCATATGTCAAATAGCTTAAGGCCTTATCAAGTGTGAACCCAGCCCTGTACAATGCCACTGCACCAGCATAGTTTATGACTAGCAAAATTCTTAGAATATAGAAAGGCATCTATCTGGTGACAAAAAGCTTAACTCCATTTCTGCATTTATGAAAGTCATATTAGCATGTTTATCATATTTTGTATTTCCGAAACTGATGCTCTATCCTTTGTATGTTTGCACTGTATTTGAAATGAACTAAAATATCTGCTTGTAAGAGTTTGTATTGTTATTATATTCTGTGTCCCTTTCTACAGGTTTCGTATTGACAACACAGATCATATAATTGATGTTAATAAAGGTAACATTCCTTTTGAGTATGACCAAGTCAATATCATTTGCCCTGTCTATTCTCCTGGCACTAAAGATGAAGATGTTGAGAGGTATATTATTTATAATGTAAGTATAATTTTTATTTATTTATTTATTTATTTTTGTAATTTTGAAATAAAAATTCAGTTTCTAATGTTCTATTAACTGTGTCTAATATCACTATCTTAAGATATATATTTTGTTCTTAAACTGTATGGTAATTTAGATTTTTTCCCAATTAAAAGTTTATTCAAATAACTACCATCTTCTTCTTCTTTTTTAAACATTGATTTTTTTTGTAAAAAATAATTCTTAAGAATATGTACATGAAAATTACAAAAGGAGTTTAAAGAAAGAAGAGTTATGCAGAAATGGAGTTATGCAGAAAGTTATGAGTTATGCAGAAATGCAGAAATGGAGTCACATAAAAGGATGAATGAGTATATTATGATTTGCAAAAATTATTAAATATTTTGAAGAGATTTTCAAAGTAGGATACTGGGAATTAATAACAGATCACTGTAGCCTGTGGTTATTAATATCAAATTGTTCTGTTCAGTTTGAACACTTTATTGATTGAAACTTTTAAAAATACTTTCATTATGTGCTATAATATTGTAGTACATATTTAACTGGCATTTAGTTTTTTGATTTTCATATTATTCATATTTCACATCTCATGGAGATCCAATTATTTCTCAGCAATACTATAAATGTAATTCCCCCTCCCCCCACCATGCTAAAATTTAATACTGATAGTATAATATTTATATTTTAGCAAATATGTTCATTATATGCTATTTTTGCCAAAAGATAAAGGTTTAGCCCGCCATCCCCCAAAAGAAAGAAAAAGCATGCATTGATTACATGGTTATTTTTTGATTAACAAACTCGATGATTTCAAAACAAGGAAAAAATCTCTATGTAAGGATGTGAGAAATTCTAAAGATGTGCTGTTTTTAAATATTTTGTGATGTTGCTGTTGAATTGAATTTTATGTGGTTTAATTGCAAAGAACATGATGTTTAATAAAGTTAGCAAATAAAACATTTAAAAAAAAATGTCCCTTTGGGTGTAATGTAAAATTTGAAAGCTTTCAGATTTTCCCCTGTTTTTTTTCTTTTCCCATTTATTTGTTCCCCCCCCTCTATTTTTATCAGTACATCTCTTACCAAGTTTATTGATGTTTATTAACTGTTGATAAGATTTTGTTTGTCACTTTGTGCATGCAGGAGTGACATTTTTCTTTTTCTGTTGCAAATTACAGTAGAATTCCAATAATTTACTCCTACTTAATCCTATTTAATCCACAAATACACGTAATTCACATTTAAATTTAAATTGATCCACAAATATCTGTAATTCACATTTAAATTTAAATTGATCCACAAATATCTGTAATTCACATTTAAATACAAATTTTCAGTTTTCCGAAAAATCAGCGCAACTTGTATGTATACAGAAATAAGATTTTTAAAGAAAATATACTATATTTATAGCATATTTTAATTGAAGAAGTTTATTTATTTTATTGCTGAAGTTATTTGGCACCCTCTGCAGTGACAGAAATTAAGGAAAGGGGACACCTTGAAATTTTCAATTACCTGTTTTAGCATAGAATACGTGGTGCAGCTGCACCAAGACAGAGAGAAGGAATGGGATAAAAAACATGCAAATATATATGGGAGTGCCAATATCTTTTAAGTGTTTAGGCCCTATGAAGTCTTAATCCTGCTTTGCATCAGGCCCATAGACTTACATAGCTGATGCTGACTTTTGATACATGTTACCATTTCATTACATTCAGAAATTTATCACAGGTCTAACTTCACACGTGGCAGGTGAAAAATAAAGGCCAACAATTTAAGCTGCTATAGCTATGCTTCTGCAAGAGACTAGCACCAAGCAACTGTTACATATGATATCAATATTTTAATTCTTCACTAATGATGTTTTTTGCAATTTATGTGAAGGTATTACTTTTTAATGGAAACTGCACTTTTTGGGACATCTTATTTTTCTGTTTGTTAAAATATACAACTGTATGTTTTTATAGGTGTCAAAAGAAGAATATGATTCATGCCGCATAACAAATCCCAGTTCCCGTATCATTGCTCTCTGTGATAAGCCTCATCAACTTATGTACTTCACCATCACTTTTCGATCATTTACGCCACAGCCAGGAGGTTTAGAGTTTAAGCCTGGCCAGGATTACTATTTCATATGTAAGTTTATTTTAACATGACATGAGTCTTCAAAGAAATAACTTCACAATATTGTAATCACTATATATAATGAAACTATTTATAAAAATAACAGAATTTTGAATCATGGACTGTTTTCAGTTAGAGTCTTAATTTGTTAGCTCCTCATAAGATTTGTTCAAGGCAGTTAATTTTTTTCTGTATAAAAGTGACATGTAAGCATTTTTATAAATGATGCAACAATATACACAAAATATCATTCAGCTTGAAACTGATAGGTTTTTAGTGATTTTTTTATTTTAGAAGATTTTAAGTTTTTTTTTTTTTTTTTTTTTTTTTTTTTTTTTTTGTTATGTTTGGTCTGGATTCAAAAGAACTTTGATATGTTTCATTTATCAGCAGTCTTATAATTTTATTTGTTTATTTATTTCTCTGTTAGTGTATTTATTTTCTTTTCATACTTTTTTCAGCAACGTCTGGCAACAGATCTGAATCACTGCACCAAAAAATAGGAGGAAGATGTGCAACACATAACATGAAAGTTATTTTTAAAGTTTGCTGTGAGCCTACAAAATGTAAGTGTATTATTTAATTTCCTAATCTTTTTAAATAATTAACATTTCAAATTTTTTAATACATAACATATACAAGGCTATCAAGAAAATTTTGATGTCTCTTAATTTTATCACAGTTGGCATTCATTATGCAGTTTTTTTTTTTTTTTTTTTGTTTGCAGCTGTTTTACTGCCCCATACTTTTCAAGTCTGAAAGTACTTTCTTCAGGAAATTGATTTCTTAGTTTTTCATTGTGTTATTTATGCAAGAAAGTTATTCGAAAGCAAATATGTAGTTTTGTTTGTATGGCCTTATTTACACCATAAAAAATTCAATAAAGTTTGTAAAAAAAGTTTAAAACATTTCTCCTAGAAATTTACATATGGTTTCTTTCGATGTAAAATTATTATTCGCTAATGTTCCAGTGGAGGGTGCATTAAGATGTCTAGAAATCAGACTTCATTAATTTCATTTCCCTTGCATCGAAATTGATAAGCTAATTTCCCTCGCTCATCTCTGTTTGAAAGAAACACATTTTGTTTTCCAAAATAAGTATTACAAGCAAACTGAGGGATTAGCCATGAGAAGCCTCCTCAGCCCCATCCTGGCTGATATCTACATGCATTATTATGAATCAAAAATATTTGAAACTTTAAACTTCCCGGTATGGTTTCACTATGTAGGCAATACTTTTACCCTGCTTGATGGTAATAAAGATGATTTAAATAAAGTTCTTTCAACAATGAATTTCAGTGATCCTGCTATTCAGTTCATTTCTGAACTTGAGACCTGTAATTCTCTTCCGTTCCTCAACATTTTGGTTTCACATAACACATCCAACTTCAGTACTACAGTTTACCATAAACCTTCATTGGTTTGCCTTCCACTACACTTCAAATCATGTTATCTGACTAAACAAAAGTTCTTCATTTTTATTCCTACGTTTTCCATTCATTTCAAGTTTGCTCCTCCAAATTGGCTCTTGATCGAGAACTAAATTATTTAAAAATCGGACAGGGGCTTTTCACCCAACATTATTAATCAAGCAGTTAAAAAATTCTCATCTCAGCACACCAAAAAGCACACTCTTGTTTTAGGAGATTATAAAATTCTGTTTATTCCTTTCTTTCCATCAATTAGCTATAAAGTTGCACATATTTTGCAGAAATTTAACTTTCGGGTTGTTTATTCTCCCATCAATAAAATTCCAACTTCTATACTCAGGAACCCCATTCCGGATATGAATTCCTGGGGTATTTAATAGGATTCCTTGCCAGTGTGGTTTAATTTACATTGGCCAAACTAAGAGAGCCTTAAAATTTTCGCATTAAGAAACATGAAGCATATGTTAGAAAAAAGGAAACACAGAATTCCTCTGTTGCCCAGCATTGTTGGTCCAAAAACCATACTTTCAATTTTTCTGCAGCCAAATTTTTTTTTTTTTTTTTTGAAAAACTCCCATTGGTGAATAGATTTTCTAGGGGCATTTTACATTCAAAAAATCTTTCTGTTCTAGTTAATGACTCTAATTCCAATTTGTCTTTGCCTTCAGCCTTTAAGGAAATTATGTTTTAGTTCTTAGTTCATCAATAGATAGTGCCAGTAACTTAACTCCTGTCCAGCCATTCTTATCTTATCTTATCTAATCTCTATATCTTATCTCATTCATTTGCGCTTTTGCAGCTAAGTATGATGGTTCAGTAAAACCATCAAAACTAGTCCTGTGAAAATTTGCAAATATAACGCTGATTTTTGTTGTTTGACTTCTAAATTAATACTTGTTTGGAGTGTTATTTTATCTTAACCTCTTTAAGGTGTTTAAATATACAGGGTGTTTATAAAGTCTCTATACATTTTTGCTTAAACAGGTTTTATTCTGAAATATAAGTTATTTACATGAAAATGCAACATAATAGAACACTAAATTAGTACAAATCAGTGTGGCCCCCCTGAGTGTCTAGGCACAATTGCCACCATTCCACTACACTTACGAACACCTTACCTAAAGCTATTGGTGTAATGTCAGCTGCTGCAGCCATAATTCACTGTTTTAATTGTTCAATTGCTGCCAGTCCTCACTCGGAATACTTTGGACTCGACAAAACCCCATATGAAATCGTCTAGAAGAGTCTGGTGACTGTGGAGTCCAAAGCCGTTGAGAGCCACAACCAATCCAGATATCAGGAAATGTTTCATTAAGATAATTATGCACAATAATGGCAGAATGAAGAGGTGGCCCATCCTTTTAATAGACAACAGTGTTAATAATGCCATCTGATACTAGCTGTGGTTCAAGGTATTGTTGCAACATATCAAAATAAATTTCTCTGGTGATGGTCCTTTCTGCAAACATGAAAGGTCTACAGAACTTAGTTATTCCAATCCATACATTAACTTTACATGTGTCTTTCTGAGATTCATATAACACGTTTGGTTGTTCATCAGCCCTCATTTGGCAATTACGGCTATTAACATGACTGCAGAGGTGGGACTGGGATGCGTGACTGCTTCGTCGCGAAAGAGAACATTTTCCATTAAGTTCTCATTTTCCACAGCTTCTGACAAATCATAACACATGGCTTGCCGAACTGCATAGTTGTCGGCTTCAAACTTATACACAGTTTGAATGTCATAGGCATTCTTGTTTAAATGACAGCATAGAGTTTTCCAAACGGTAGTATGCAAAATATTAAGTTCTCTGCTGAGTTCTTGTGTAGATGCCTGGGGGCTATGCATAATCGTTTCTTGTGCACTTTGCTCAACTTGTGGTGTTATCGAAGGTCTCTCAGAATGGTCTTCATCTTTAACTCTACTAGTTTACTTGAATTTGTTTACCAAAGTTTTAATAGCTGCTCTGGTTGGGGCTTGTTTTCTGAATTTGCAGAGGAAATCCTTCTGCACCTGTTAATATGTTAATCCATGTGTATGGACAACAGCATTCTTTCAGATTGCCTTGAAAGAATTGGAGGCAAAAAGAATGTATTTCCCAAAATTGTATATGTATATATATATATATATGTGTGTACTCATTGCTTAATGAATTAAGGAATTTTGATAGGCAGAGTAAATTTGTGTCTTTTTAATTATGTTATTCCTTACTCTGTAGAAATATATATCCTTCCCTGATGATTTAATACATTTAATTTTATTAAGAGCCAGGATGCATGCTTTTCATTTTAGAGGATTTTTGTGCTTGGCATTTTAAGTATCACGAAGAAAAAGTGAGTGGATTTAGGCAACATTAACAGTATTCCAGTTATTGTTCCAAATTCTAATTATTATTAACCATGTCTTGAATTAATATTTTAACATAAGATTTATAATGCACAAAATGGTTGAATCAAACTTGCATTTTTCTTAGTTCAGACAGTACATTCCCTGTTAATCCTCTTACTTAAATTGAATAATAAAGTTTTAACTAATAGAAGTCTTAAAAAATTGCAATTTTTAATACCTTTTATTTTTATATAGCATCTACAGAATCATCTAGTAGTTCAAGTACTACAGTTTCTTCAACTACGTCATCATCTACAATAGCTTCCACAACAATGTATCGCTTCAGCCGGCCAACAATGCCACCTTTCCGTCTTCCGCCAAGTATCTATACTAGCAAACTTCCTCCTACAAAATATGATTTTCCACGAGAGGAAGAGCGTGGGAAAGTGTCTTCTAAGAAAACAGGTAAATATATTGGAAAAAGTCATTTTTAAAAGTTACAGTATAAAATTGGCATAGCTGAAAATTATGTACTTCAGATATTAGCATACATTTTGATTAAAAAAAAATAATTACAGTAAAAAAGTCCTAGTTTTCTCTGGTGAAACAGAAAATTTCTTTGGCATCTGTTTCAGAAGTTACAGTTAGGGAAAATTCATATTTAGCTGATAATTTTTAATTGGTGAATTAGATGTATTAATTTGGAAGTGTTTACATAAAAACTATTTATATATATTCATAGTCCTTTTAGCTTATAAATGCAGGATCATATTGTGAAGAAAATTCTGAAGTAAATAAGAGTATGCTTAATGTATTAAAATACTTGTTGATTGGCAAAAGTGGGCGAGTTATAAAAAGCAAGAAAGGGAACTTGCATGCAGAAATTTCTTGCACCTGTGACATGTGAATTTTTCTACTATTAGGTCTCAAATTATTCATATTAATAATTGTGGCTTTCCATCTTACTGCCACTATTTTCTCATCAGTTTTGGGGGACGGAGAGAAAAAAAAGGTGCATTTTTTTTTTTTTTTTTTTTTTTTTTTTTTTTTTTTTAATTTGGAATTATTACTGCATGTAGTAAGTTTGACAGATATTTCTCTTGTCAGTTGAACAAGTAAAACAGCTCCCTCCAAATATCATATTGTACTTACTCCTTTTATTTACTTCATCAACAGCTTTCTATGAGCCCCAAAATAAAAATTTTCTTTGTTCACAAAGTATACATTAGAATAATGAACTCTCAGAAATTTTATTTTGCTTCCTAAGTTTATAAGAAGGGTTTATATATCTTCTTAGGAACTTAGGACTTACCTTAGTACTGCATCAAGAGTTGGTCACAATTTCGTAAATGCGATTTATAATTTTATTATATGTATACTAAAATCATTTTGCATTTAAAAGGACATGTTTGTGATTATTTTCATCATAAAACTTAAAAAGCAAGTAAATTCATAATTAAGACAGTGTATACTGGAATAATTAATCAGCCTTATTAAGACAATGTATTGGAATTAATGATAAACCTTACATTTCTCGGCTTTTGTTTAATATTTAGGGAAAAAAAATATTCATAAAAACTTTAAAAGTGTTATATGTAAACTTGCATTACTATTCTTGAGATTTTATAGTACATATTTTGAAAATATTTTCTGTGTAATAGATAATTAAATTATTTCAGATTTAATTCTATTGTTATGCTTTTTATTTAATAATCTATACCAATTCATCTGTCTGGAAAGTCTGTCTAAAAAGTTAAGTGTTTGAATTTTTTTGAATATTTGATGAGATTTTTAGCATGTGAAATATCACATTGTCAGAACAATTTTCAAACTTTTATAAATATCTGGAATAGGTAATTAAACGATTTTAATTTTAGCCTTATAATTCAAGGTAATCTGAGCACCAACGCATCACTTTCGTGACACAGCAATTTTTAACTGGCAGTTATTAATCCAAAGGGGCTTTGTCCTTGAAGGACTATTTTACTAACCCTGAAAGTTTTCATTTTGCGATTTTGCACTGAAAACTTTAAAAGGCGGTATTACTTTTCAAATCGTCGCCACCAAATACTATTGCCATGTATTATATTTGAAGAAATTAAATAATGAAGAATCTGTATAAATGTATGTATGTTTCTTACATTGTGATAAAACAACGATACTAGAGCCATTCAGTTTTGAATGACATAATCCTACTGCGAATATGGGCATCTAAAAGCCCAAATTGGAATCTGGAATTTGTTTTATTATCGATTTCATATTTTGTAAAACTTTAACGAATTTTTGATTAACAAACTCAATGATTTAAAAGCGAGCAATGGCAACTCTGTACGGGGGGACCTTTTTATCTTCAGCACGCGGAACTGTGTATCGGAAATTCTAAGGATATGCTGGTTTTGAGGTAATGTTACTAATTGCTGTCAAGTTGATGGAAACAACCATACATTTTCCTACAGACTTTAATCCAGAGACTAAGATGATTGAATCTGATGACTGATGATATCTTCAATTCAGCCCTCTTATTACTGCACACTGATAAGATCTTGTATTATTATCAAATAATTAGTGTGTTTTTGATTGCTATGCTAATGATGAATCTGTACCAAAACACCCAACTATCTTTCATGGTTTATAATTTTCTTTATCTAAAAATTTATGATAGCACATTCAACAATCATTCATTACTAATATCAACATAAACTTAAATCAAACCTTTCTGCTTCTGGAAGTGTAGTTCCTTTCTCCAAGACATTATTTTGCTTTGTTTTTTGAAAGTGTTCTTTGTAAGTGATGGTGGTGGTGGTGTATTTAATTATGGCAAAGCACACTAGGTCTTTATACATAGCATTATTCTAATATAGGTTTTTTTGACACAAAATCGGACTTTTTCTGATATAACATACCATTTTTTTCCATATTTCGATTCTACGACTTAAATTACGTCAAACTACCAAGTTTTCTAAAAACCGCACAGTTAGTTTTTAAAAAATTAGCTCTCAAAATATTAGCTCCTCAATGTTAATTGAGTTTGGCATATATTTATTAATCTCTCTTTTTTTTAATTAAACTTAATTGATTCTTCCTTTCACATTTCAAAATTTAGATTCGTTCCAAATAAAATCTACCCATTTTTTATGATTTATTTTTAAAATTTGTATTTTTAAATAATTTTTTCAAAAAAATTTTTGAATTATAATCTATAAAATTTTACCATCATCTTAAAGAAGTATTTCTCAGCATACCTGCAAAAAATTACGGTTTCTTATTCAAAATTTCCGAAGATATACATTAATCTATATATTGGCGCGTTTTAAAATTTGGCATATTTGTTTGTTATATAAAACACATCAAATGTGGTTTAGACACTTTGCTAAAAATTGTTTGGAAGTAGAAACGATGTGACTAAGCTGACCATCTACATCTATGGTGTAATGAACTGCCCATCCTTGGATTGGACGGTTCCAAATCTCCATCGTCTATCACCTTGGCGATAATTTCTTACTGCCACTGTATCTCCTACTCTAAATCCTCAGTCTGCAAACTCGTAGGTTCCTTTTTCAACTTCCACCCTCCTTTTGTGATCTGGTGTCAGTAAATGTATTCTTTGTTCGAATTTCCCTCTTCAGCATTAGCATTGCAGGGCTCTGTAGAGTAGTTAAATTCAGAGCTTTCCTATATTGCAGGGGTTGCCAAGCTCCTTGATAGTCCGAGCCATTTTTCAAAATTTGAAATTTTTCGCGAGCTGCAATTAAATATGCATTTAAAAGGTATGCAAAAAAGGTATTAAATTTTTTTTACAGAAATTATATTTATTGAAAACATATAAATAAAAGTACAAAGTATGTTGTATTGAATTTAAACTATTAAAAATTAAACACATTTATTTTACTTCCCTTGAATAATTCTTAAAAAAAAAAAAAAATTGGTGAATTATTGGTGACATCACCTCTCAGTAATTCTTTGAGATGCTGGTTAGTTGAATATTGCGATCGGTGTTTGGATTTCACGAATTTTAAAGTGGAAGTAAAATGATTCACATAAGTATACGTTATGTTCTGAATATTGAAATGATTCGAAAAGCAGCCTTTTTTAATTCAGGTTACTTCAATTCTGGTACAAAATTTCAAAATTCAGTAATCGGCGTCGACTTATATTTTAATTGTAGAGCTCGATCTTCTTGCATCTCTATTAATTCTAACTCTCCAGATGTGTTTTGGAAATGGAAAACTCACCTTGAATTATATTAATTTCAAATGGATTCAGAAAAAAATCAAGAGACACTTTAAAATATTTCAAGTCTTGAAATCTATTTTGGAATTCCATCAATATTCTTTCTAGCTTTTTTATTTATTCGTTTAATATTGGAACAAATTTTTTTAATTCGAGGAAAATGACAAAATGTTTTGATTTAATGTTCTTTTGAAAAAGTTTGTAATTTAGTTTAAAAATTAAATATATACTGCAAGAGGTCAGACATTATTTTATCTTTCTCCTGCAATTGTAAATTCGGAATTTGCAAATGTTCCATGACATCAGTCAAAAACATTAAACATTACATTTCTTGTAACCACTCGTCTTCATCTAATTCTGAATAGGTTATTTCCTTTTCTTTTAGAAACGCAGTTATCAGATCAAACAAATCTACAAATCGATTTAATACATTGTAGCTAGTTATAACCATCTAACAATGAAAAAGGACAACACAATTTGAAATTTGTCAATTGGCCCAGTAGAACATGAGGTATAGATGTCCCCCTTTTTTTTCGCAGTGTACATAGGCTTGTGGACCTTCATGCAAAACCAACAAATGCATCTTAAACCAAGATCTTGATAAGTTTAAACCTTCTATTATAGCTCTGATGCTGTCTGTAGTTTCCGTTCCGATTACATGATCACCATCTCAGTGCTCAGCTATGTTTCAATCTTTATCCTTTAATAATGGTAAAAGTAATCATAACGATGGTCAGTGTTATCAGAATAGCAACATTAAAACTTAGTATCTTGACCAATTATCAGTGAGTTTTGGCTCCCGAAAGTGCATCAAGAAAGATAAACTTAATCTCATTGGGCATGGAGATCAACTGAACAGTTTCTCTGATGGGTTAATACTTAAGTGTATAAAAACTAACTAACCATAAAGTTCTGCTTAGCATGTGCAAGGGCTGTTATTCAGTGTTTTAAACTTGGACACCAATGCATTATTAGTAACTTTCATTAATTCAACTTTTGATTATTTAGTAACTTTCATTAATTCTTTGTTAAATGTTTTTTTAAACATATTAGACTTATTTCTGAAAATTTTTCTGGAACTTTCTGAATTTATGAAGAGTATGTGATTTAAGGATTATTTTAGTTATCACTGCATGATAGTACAGTAGAATTCCAGAAATATGCAAAGCTTGGGACCAGAGGTTGTGTGGATTTTAGGATTTCAGGACAGAAAAGATAAAGCATAATATTCGGACTAAAAGTGCAAAATGAATAAGGCATATTAGATACACATTTAATTAAATTATTATATACATTATTGCAATAATTGCATTATATGCATTAAATTATTATTACATATATAGAAATTGCATTATATTATTCATGTATATATGTACACACCATCGAGGTTTGCCGATTTCACCTCATGCAAAGATTTCCGGTTTCGGATTCCAGTGTTAGAATCACTGTTGTAAAATTTCAACAGTTTTCTTTATTTTTTCGTATATCATACACGATCATGTCACAATTCCATATCATTCTGCTATAAATTGAGGTAGCACCTGCTTCCATCTTTTGCAGAATTTGCACTTTTTGCGTTACCATCAATGCAACGTCTTTACATTTTTCAACATTGCAAGCCGTAAAATCACAAGTGCTTTCTTATCAGTCATTGTATTAAAAGGGGCTGAAATTAAAAATATTCTTAATTTATTCATAAAATATTCGGATAAAAAAAAGGCAGCACTAAACAATCTCGTGAAATGAAATAACAAAGCTCAGAAAATACAACAACGTGAATCGTGAACTTGAACAAATAGTTGAGCGAATAGTCTGCTTTTTTACCTCGATGCAGATTAGAGGAAAAAAAAACTTATTTATTTTATCATATTTTTTTAAAACTTTTTTATATCAATAATTTGGTATTTCCTGTTTTGACTCATTATTATTCGGTAATTATGACATCATTATTCAATAATTATTTTTTCTTTGATATTTCGTGCTCAATGTTGAGGTTTCTGGAAACTATAAACTGAATGTTTATATTCTGAGAAGCAACGCGGATTTCAGGAGTTGGCGGATTTCAGGTGGGCAGATTTTCGGTATTTGACTGTACTTGATTTAAAACTGTTATATGCATACTACTTCCTATATTTAAATATAAATATTACCTATTGAATTGATTTCATTTACAAATAAATGAAACTTAGGAATAAGGAAAGTGTCTAATTTATTACTGTTTCTTTTTCAGAAGACAGAGATAAATTGCCAAATGAAACAAGAGCTAAAAATGAAGAACTTGTGAATAATGCTGCCGTAACTTTTAAAGCACAGCAGAACTGTATCACAACAATGTCATTGCTATTGCTAACCTTGTACCAGTTTCTTGCAAGGTGAACATTACCTGAATTATCAACTGTATAGAATAATTTGTAACATTGTGTAAAAAAAAGATTAAAAAAAAAAAGGAGTCCACATTTTCCTTGGCTGTGATAGCTGCAGGAAGCAATCTTAGGAAAAATTAAATGTGAAATCATCATCTGGTCATGAACTTGGTTATCTTGGTACTTTTATTCACTTATGGGAAGTTAAATACGTCATTAAAGAAAACTTTTAAAAATTCAGTGAAGAAGAATCTATTCCCTATAGTGCTATATTTGTATTCTTCTGGAACAAAACAAACAAAAAATCTTTTTAGGTATTTGTTTTCTTGTGTGCTTTTATTTTGTGATTAAAATCTGTGGAATTGAAAGGCGAATGATCAGCATATTTTCCTTTGATTGTACTTTTATTTATTTTGTAAATGACCAATGTATAAAGTTATTCCAATGTTCATAATCTAATTTTTGAAAAAATTAATTAATTTTTATGGAAGAGGCACTGCTTCATTTGTGCTAAGTCATTAAACCTGGAAAGATAGGATTTATAATACTGATGCACAGATTATTTGTCACTGCAATCAATGAACATTTCAAGTCTGTAAGTTCATTTATATGTAGATGGACTCATTGAACATGATGCTTCAGTGTAAAGCAGTAGCATCTGTTGGAATTTTGCTTTATATTGACTACTGAAGTTATGGAGGATTTAAGATGTTTGGCATTACTGTGATCTGTTTGTAAGTATTCTAGAATGTCTTGTGGATTTTGTTTATAACTGTAATGTGTAGAGATATTCAAGATTCCTTTTAATTTACTTAATAGTGTGTAAAGTATTTTAATGTATTTTGATATTTTATTGGAATATGACAACTTCATATTTTATGTATGTGACAGAAAATTTTTTTGTAAACAAAGGAATTTAACTAATGTGTTAATTTTTTAAACATACCATTCATTCAGATTTTAATGTACATATTTAAAACAAAATATTGATGCTGTTAATTTTACTTTTTAGAAAAATTGTATTGTTTGGTGTTCTTTTCCCTTAGTTATCTGTATGAATTTTTATGCTTAGTTTTGCAGTTGGAAAACAACAACAACAACATGCAAGTAATATTTGTTTTTATAATTTCACTATTACCTATCAAACATAGCAAATGATGATTCTTTTCAAATGCTAAGACATTTTGAGAAACCTACATTTTGTGTAAAATGTTCCAGTAAATGAGGAAGTTTTTATGAATGATGGACAAACAGTGATAATAGGTCTTGTTTAATAGTGTAGTTATTAGAACTTGAGTCTTCCTCATGACTCGATTTTCCAATAAATTACTCGTAATACATACATTTCCAATGCTTAAGCAGTTTTGCCTTTTGCATTATCTACTTAATATTCTGAGTGAATAACTTCAAGATATTTCAGTAGCTCTTTAGAGTTGCAGGGAAAATAAGCGTGCCAAATTTTTTTGCCGTCTTGCATTTGGAAAGTGCCTTACTTTTCTTAATAGTATCATCCGGAAGAAGAAACTTTAGAAACTCTTTAAAAAAAAAAAGATCCTTGGGGGGAAAAATTAATAAATATATTTTAGCTTTTATACTTTTAATTCATTTTGTTGTTCTCTAAACAATTTATAGATGTTGTTAAGCATTTAGGCTTACATTTTTTAATAATACAGTGTAGGAATTACATGGTTTATAAGTGCCAAATTTTCTCTTTCCGGTATCAGCGCTTTTGCGAGATTTAATAGCTGCGAAGATTAATGCTTCTTAATATATAACTCAAGTCTTTTTCAGTACTCTAGCTCAATGTATGTAAAAAAAAAAGTATGATTTTCAAACAAATTTTTTGTAAAATCTTTTGAGGTTGTTACTTTGTGTCCAATGCATACTTATGTTGATGCTATATTTCAATATTGTGCATATTCTTTGTTTTGGAAGTGAATTTTGTACATAATTGTATAAAGCAAATAAAATAAGTCTGATGCTTTGTTAATAGTTGTCAGATCATGTTTTCTTCTTCAATATTATGCATTTATTTAAAAGTACATGATACATTTTTATGGTATCTGTGGCAATTATTTATATTTACATTTGCTGCAAAAAGCAGAAAGTTAATAACCAGATTAGAAGCTGAAAGTGTAAGGCTACATTTTTTTTTTATCTCAGACTGAAAACAATTATGATATAATCATTTTAACAGCCTTTGGTGTACACTAAACCAAATTTCCTTTTGTCCAAATTATACTAATTATGCATTATGCCCATTAAAGTTCTTATGCAACTTTTTATTTTTGCAATCATTGATCATGAACATATACTTCAGTCTGCAAATATATTGCTTTTCAGTATCTCATACTTTAAAATTATTTTTGTTCTATGGGAGTCAATTATTTTTTACTGCTTTATTTAGAAAAAGAATGAATTTTTAAGAAGTGTGACTGGAGGATTGTATAGAAAATTAAATTTAATTATTTCTTCAAAATTTACTACTACAACATGAATATTTTCCCTACTTAAAGCATTTTTGTGAGTGAAAACATATGTTTATGACCTAGTGGCTGTCAAAATAAAAGTTGCATAATGATTTTCATAGACATGATGTTTGTTAGGTTAATAAATTTATATGGGAAGAAGAAAGAAGATCCAATGTTAAAAATTGTCTTTTATAAACATTGTTCCTACTTACTATGATTCTTGCCTGTTCTATCTTATGAGAAAATAAATGTATAGTGTGTATTAAGAAGATTTATAGATGTAGAACCATCAGTGTGGTTGTTGTCAAAGCTGTTGTTAATATGTATGAAACCAAGTTCAAAACTTGTCATATTTAAGTGTGGAAGTGATTGAACAAAGTATATTGTATTTATCCCTGAGCAAAGTGTATTTAATTGTCATAAATGGAAGTGAAAAATTTCCACTTCAGCTTTCAGCACAGCAGAAAGAACTAAATTTGGTTAATTACACAAGGAGATTAAGCTTATTTTTTGCTTCGATTAAATGTATTTAAATGCAATGAATGATCCTTTTTAAATCAATTATTTATAATTATACCATATATGTCCTTATACCCATTTTTCGTAAATGTTCATGTTCTTATTCTTAGGAAATACAATTTAAGAGTCTGCTCACTTAAAAATTGTGTTCCGCCTACATTCTGTGATTCTGGACTTTTTAAAAATATCATTCAATTTTGATGAAAAAAGTAGTCAAGGTAGTTGAAGTTTTAATATATCCTAATTCTAAAATCCAATTTAAAAGTCACAGATTTTTTTTAAACATCTAAGTGTGGTAAAGGCATGATTTAAATACGGTAAAGCGAGAATCACATACAGAATTGATGGGCATATTTATATTTTGCTTTTATTTTATTATAATGATTGATGAAAGCATAACTACTGTGTATAAATTTTAACACCATGAACAAATTTTTTATATTTGCTCCTAACGAATGCTGAAAAGCAGCAGAGATTTAATAGCTTGCTCCTATTTAATCTAATCAAATGTGATCTCTATATAAATATTTTCACACATTTTTACTAATTATAACTTTATTAATGAAGTATTTTTGAGTTTATTAATGAAATTAAATCCCCTGATATATATTTGATTTACTTTTTAATGATCCATATTTGTGTTATATTTAACAATCATTTAACTATTATATCTGTTTCCAAGCAAATTTTCACCGTGCTTTTTCTTAAATTTCTTCAATTATGCCCATAATAAATATTCAAGAATCCTTATGCCTATAATAAATATCGTGGTTATTAAATATTCTTACATTCTAATGTTCATAGTAATTAAAGTAAAAAATTTGAGACAACAATTGTAAGGTAGCATTTTGATTTATGACAGTTGTCGTAAATTTTCTAATACTTATTTTTTGCTGTGACATATTTAGGATAGAATAAAGAAGAATTAATAGAAATTAAACAAAAATGGGTTTTCAGTCTATAATAATATATCCTTTGTAATTCAAATCTATAAATCTGTTCTTTACTACCAAGAGGAAGGGAAACGTAGGAGTCAAATTCAAACAGTGGATGAACTACTGGTATTGTCCGGCTTTATCCATTTGGGCACTGAAATCATTAAAAAATAATGGATCAAACTAATGAAATCATTAAAAAGTAATTTTCAAAATATGCCTTTAATAAAGGAAACAGTTTTTATCTGTTTATTAAATGAAATGATCATCTGGATACATTTCATATTTCAACGTAAAGTAACAATTGGTGGTCAATAATATAAATGTAGTCAGTTCAGCCCTCTAATGCACTGGAAATGTCCCAACCCAAGTAATGTTTTAGAAAGGAAATATTAAAATTAGCAGAAATGATAAATTGCTACTTAATCTATTTTTATTTGGCAACATATTCTTTTACATAAATAAACAGTTTTATATCCCTTGAAGTAATATAAGCAAGTAATTTATTGATTTTTTAAATGTATTTTTACACAAGTAAATTAATTTCTTTTTTATATTTTTCAGTTTCTGTGAGATTTTATTTTACACATGGAACAATGAAGTTCCATTTTTTTAAAGTAATAAATTTCCGATTTCTATACTTCTGGATGTAATTTCATGGTGGTTCCCACCAAGTGTACTAAAGTTTTGATTTTTTTGTTACTGATTATCATATCAATACAGTATGAAGTTCAAAGTCTGAATATCCATATATATAGAATATATGGAATGATCTAATTTCCAGACCACCAGCAACAAAATAAATATATAAATAAAATAATATACCCCCTTCCTTACAAAGTCTAGGAATAAAGAATGTAAATACATACTCAACAAAAGGAAATATTGATGTTGGCCAGGATCACACTTTTGGTCCTTAAGTTGTGGAGGAGTTTCAGCATTTTCCTGTCTGACCTAAACAAAAAGTGAAACCCCAATGATGCCAGCTCGATATGTCATCTTACTAGATTTAAACTGATGATCTAAAATCTGAAGCTGTCCTAGGAATTTTGGATCTTAAACTTTGTATCGTACTTGATTTTAATGGACTGTGAAGGTCCTTTAATATATGACTTTATGTTTGAAAATGTGTAGTTGCTATTTAGAAATTGCCAAAAGCACTGCTTTATAAGAATATATGGCTTCATAAGGAAAGGATAGCTTTTAAAAAACACAAAATGAAAATCTGATGTTTTTTGTAGACAGATATGAGATAATTATAAACAGCGTGAAGCAATAATTAAAAAATAAATACTACAAAATAATGAGGAAAATAGCTGTTTTGTTTGTGAAAAATTATGTAAATGGTGTATTTGTTATTTGTTGATGAATAAATTAAATATGGCAGCAAATATTGAAGGAGGAGGAAAATTAGAGAATAAACTAGTTCAAACTAAATATAAATAATTTCCTAGTAATTTACACAAAGAGATTTAAAGCAGTAATCTATGATTTTCTATAATTATTCGATATTCAGGTGGAAATAAATTTATAGTGAAATACATCATGGCTATGTGTTTAGAAGTGCATATTCACAGAGAACTTTCACTTATTCATGTTGCATCTTTGGTCATACTTGGTTTTATATAATACTTAATAGATAACCTGTTAAGTACCAGAATTTGAGTTTGACCAAACAACTGTGGTATTATCCACATAGCAGGTTGTGGACTCATTTTAAAAAATATAATGCGTCATAAAATATACTAATGCCTGAACTTGCATGCATATATGGATATTTAAAAATTTATAAGATGTTTCTCTCGAAAGTCTGAATTAATATAAGAATTTTCTTTATTAGTTTTTGAAAACTCAATTTTTCTGAAATGTATCTGTGTATGTTACAAAATGCATGTTTTAAGAATTTTTGAAAAATCTGTATCTTTGAATAAAAGCAGACTAAAAGTTAAAAGTATTCCTAGTGTTAAATGTGTAACTGAAAGTTATTGAAAATATGCATATGAGTAATTTTGCTTAAGATCTTGCTGATAGTCCTTTAGATGTGAAATGAAATATGGATAAATTTGCCATGATTTTAGGCTATTTCTATGATATGCAGGGTATGATGTTTCACAAAGTCAATTGTATCATTTTGCTATGTAGTTTTGACATATATATTTATTTTAAACAAAAGAAGAAAGACATTTTAGATAGGAAAGTATGTACAATTGTATGACAGTTAAACTGCCAAAGGTTGAGTGGAATTAACCCTAATTGTATTTTGTATAAACATATTCTCAAAATACTTCTTTTCCTTCCTTTTCTTGTGAATATTTTTATTGACTATTATTAGCTTATCATATTTAATGATCAAATTTGCCTGATCTCTGATAGAAGACTAAGCTAAAGATACTCATTTAGAAGTTGCTATTATTTTATTAGATAGAAAAACTAAGAGTAAACAACAACAACAAAATATTAAAACTCAAAATTTAATGGCTGCCAAAGGAGTTCTTTTAAAGTTTAATATGGTTTATTAGTAGAGATTATCAATACAGATGGACCAGGTGGACTCGTAAAACATTTATAGTATTCTAGACTACATTTAGACTAACATGGGAACACTGTAACTTCTGTATATTTGAAAAGTAAAAAAATATATATATAACATCATTGTATAAAATAGTGAATGTTTTTAATTAGATATATCATGAACTAAATGCATTTTTATTTAAATCAATCAGATTACAAGTGAAAAAATATTCTTATTAGTGAAAAATATTATATTATGAAATTATTATATTATGAAAAATATTATTATTAGTGAAAAATTTCTTTAACTGCATCTATTGATTTTTAATAGTTTGTTGAAGCAGTAACAGACAGATTAAATTTTGAAAGGTGAATTTCTTACATTTTGCCAAATGGCAATGGTCGCCAAAGAAAATGAAACAACACAAACCCCGTTTATTGTGTTTTGAGACTAATAACCCTTTTTGTCTAATAACAATGCAGACTTTCTGTAATTTCATTATAGTTTTCATTTCTGATAATTCTTCATACTGTATCAAAATTTCGGCTCTTGTGTAGAATTGGGTGCCCCTTCAATTAGTGACAATTATTATTATCTTTTTTTTTTTTTATTATTTTGGCAGTGAAACCTCACTTTTGGTTACCATGATAGTTTTAACTTTGTTTTGGTTTCCTGATTTTATTGAAATGAAAATAGATTGATGTGTACATGGACAAATTTAAGGCAGTGCGCAATGCCTAGTTTGTGCAATTCTAGGATGTTTTTTTAAGTGAAAACAGATCGATGCATACATGGACACAGAGTTTGTACAGTTCTTTGACTTCTTATTTTTGTTTTGTGTAGCAGTCATACTGAAATTGTGCCTTCTTGGCGTCAAAAAGAATCGCCAAAAAACAAGGGGCACCCAAACGTAAACTTTTACCAAAATTTCTTATGGATATTAACAATGTATCAAGAATACTGACATCATTGACTCTTATATACAGTAGTTATGTTTCATGATTAGAATATTCAGAAATGGATGCATTATTAAACAGAAGTTCTTTTTCAAATAAAGAAACAATCATGAATATGACTTTCCAAAGCAGTCTTTCTAAAAATCTTACTGCTAAATTATGACTTTAGAAAGTATTTAAAAGTAATTATTTAGGTATTAGTTTTTTTTTTTTCTTCTTCTTTCTTTATCTTCCTATCCCTAAATCTTGAAACGTGTTAAGAATGTTTGTGTATACGGAAACATTACTGTATTATCAATTAAATAGTTAGAAAATTTTTATTTTGCTAAACATTTTAGTTCTTAGACAGTTTTCTTTAATATGCAAATGTTTGAAAAGAGCATTTATTTTACATTTGTAATTTAAATCACAGCTGTATAGATAGCTTTTTGAGATAACCAGTTTTCATAATTTGAAGAAATACCAATTTTAAAATACCATATTTTATCAGCAAGTATTTTTTATTACAATTTGAATCATACTTATTTCAATTGCAATTTCTCAATTTAATTTATTGTATTTAACTCCCATTTTTTATAGTTAAGTATCAGTAGGAAATAGACTAGTACAAGAACTCTTGTTGTTTATTGTGTAATGGTATTTTATATTTAAATATGTAATTTCAGTCATAATTATAAACCCCATTTATTCTTTGTATTATTTTAAACAAGGAATATATTTAGATCACAGTGTGTAATATGAACATTTTATGAAAACTATACACTTTTTTAATATTAAATCAAATTCTCTTCTGTTGTAAAAGATAAGATAAGTTGTAAGATGAAGTATTCCAAATTTTATCCATTTTTGAACATTAAAATTTTTAATGTAAGTATATGAAACATTGCCCTTATGAAAGGAATCAAATCGTTTCTCTGAATAATTATTTATTAAAATACTCAATTTCCAAATGAATCTAATTTACTCATTAAATAGGTAATAACAATTTAGTTTTATACAGGTCACGTTTTTTTCTTAAATTACTTTAAAATTGCAAGAGTAAAATGATGCTTAAAATTTTCTGTTTGTTTACATTGGTGGAAGAAATGTATAAGCTCAGTCACTATTTCTGTACAGAAAAGGGATTATTATGAAGTTTCAGAGCTAGGCAAGTTTCGTCCATATGTGTATATTTTTAGTTGTACATATTTTCAATTTGTTTCTATAACTTAAGCAATGACAATTGAAATTGTCTATTATTTTCTGCCATATTTGTGATTTACTGAAAGTGTGGAAGAATTGTACGTTTGTATTTCTTCGAACAAATAAAAGTTGTTTTCACAGTATTTTTTCCCTCTCTTTGTCTAATTTTGAAATTCGAAGTGTATAAAGTATATTATGAACAGTTTATCTTCTAAGCTATGTAAGTGAAAAACCTTTTTGTGAAACTGCACAATTCCTATTGTTTCTACTACTCACAGCCTAGTGCAGAGCATCCACATACAAAGCAGTCATGTTGCTTCAAATAATTTCATTTGATTTGAGCGGGATGAATCTTTTAGAGCATTAAAGTGCATTCATAAGGATATTTATTATTACATATATATTTTGTTTTAGCTATGTATTTCCCCCCAAAATCAGTTCGTTATATGTACTTTCAAACGGTCCCCTTTCCTGTTTTTTCCAAGGAGGTTAGAATAGAAGGAGGGAGGGCTCGCAGTTTCCTCCACTATCGGGAATGAAACCTTACCTAACAAGCGGCGTCCACGTTTGTTCTGTCAATACGTTGCATTACCGCAGTGAAACGTAGGTGTTTCTAAGCTGTTCCGTGCATGTATTCTCCAGTAAAAATATGTTAAATTTATAACGAAATGTTTCGCTATTGTTAATTTTTTGTTTTAAAGTAGTAAAGATGATATCCATAATTTATTATATACAGAAAATTATTAAGAAATAGTTCGAAATTTAAATTCATGTTTATAACATTGAAAACTGCCTATGTTTCTGCATATTTCAAGGATTTGTTTAGGTTTTATTAGCAACCTGTTGGGTGTACTTTCCAATTTTTCCTTTAAGAAGTGATATTTCTGATTTATTAAGAATATTATCATAATTTATTAAAGAATCATTTCATATACAAAGTTTAAGAGATTGGAAAGAAAGTTATTTTATTTTAGTACACTTAAAAACTTCAGCTTTAAGTTGTAATACACTAAAATAGAAATTAACATATTTAGCTGATAATTATTTAAAGAAATGGTCAAAGGTTGAATTTTTTTTTTAAATAGATTCTTTTCAGAACCAACAACCTTATAACAACAAGAAATTAATAAAATAAAACAGATTTATGTGAATTTTATGATTTCAATTTATGCATGTTTCAAATTTATAAATTTCAAAGAAATTGCCTTGAATTAAGCTTAATTACAGAAATATACGTATGTAAATTTTTGGACACGTCTTTCCACATGTTCCAATTGTGTAAATATTTTATTTACTTTTATCGCTATACTGCTCAGAAATTTGTAAGTTTATGTAAACAATTTAAACGCATGAACAAAAAAATCATAAAAATAGTAACAATTGATGTTTTACTTTTCATGAAAATTATAAAACAAATTACCCAAAACGTTCAAATTATACAGTTTAAATCCCAACATATATCATTCTATGTTAAGGAAGGAAGATACTAGCTATAAACAGAAACATTAAAATGTGTTTAACATATGTTGATTATTATTAAGTCCTTTTTCTCACATCTGGAAAGAAATCAACATATTTATCAAATTTCATAAAAAAAAATCAATACTTACGCTTGAAAAGTAATCCCAGGAATCTTTTTTGATAATGGATTTGTGCATCCAGATGCAATACAAGATGACTTGCTTCAAAAAGAAAAAACAAAAAAAGAAAAAATGTTGCAATCACTGACTTCCTTGCACAAGTTACAGCGAAAGCACTAACATGGCCGTCAATATTATCCACGGTTTGAGTTGAACCTTGCTTCCTTCTATTCTAACTTTGGTTTTTTCTAGTGGGAATTTTGTAGCGATCACTTTGAGAATAGAATCAAAGCTTTGCAAGTATTGTGATCCTGCAGAAATTTTGCTTCCATTTTGTCCTTGCATGCACTTTCTCTAAAATTGAGTTTAAAACAAAAATATGACATTTATCCATAAGAACCGCTGAAAGTTACAATACAACAAAAAACACATACGAATGGTTGCGTTGCTTGTTAAAATTAAAGATGCACATAGTTGCCAGAATCTGACGCATTTGGTCACTTCTACTGATATCATTGCGTATATACGTAACAATTTAATTTTTTATAGTTGATGCTTCAGTTTAAAAATTAGAATTATATACAGTGGCTCCCAAAAGTGTTCGTACACTTACCTACAATTTCGGTGAAATATTGCTTTGTTCGTTAATACAAATTAATGTTTGAGAGTGAGAATTTTTTTATAATGTCTAGAAATTTCTTTTACCATAAATTACTTCATGAAAATAATAAAACTTCTTTTAGGAAAATCAATAATAAAAAAGTAATAGAAAAATTACCTCATAAAAAAGTATTTACTCCGTACACTTTAAAAAAATCTATGCACTTTAGTAAATATTGCAGTATTTCTGTCAGTATTATGTAGGATATCATGCAGCATTTATGACAGTTTTCAAACGTCTGGAGTTCACCAGTTTTTTTTTTTTGGGAGGGGTAATATTCATTATTTCCTTACGGCTATTCGTTGTTTCCTTATGACTACAACTCATTTTTAAATATTAAATAAAATATAACGAAGTAAGGTTTTGTGTGCAGTCAGTGTGTTATGATACTTGATGTCATATACTTCCCGATGAACTGTACGAACTGCATTAATTCTGAAGCCATGACCAGGGCCTTTAGAAACCCTAAGCACTTAAAAGATTTGGATGCCCACATTCGTTTACGCTAGGTTTCTCTTCATTCTTTCTCTCTTTCAGTTCTGGGTTGCTGCAATATGCATTTCATGATAAAACCGACAGTGGAAAAATTTTAGTGCCGTCTTTCCTGATTACCTAAGGATCTTTTTGTGGGGCCTCCTTTCTTTGCCCCAGGCACGTTGCTTATACAGCTTAATGGTTATCCAGCCTTAGCCTAGCTTCACTGGTAAACATATGTTGCCGCGATCCTATAATCTATGCAAACGACAGATTGTATTCTAGTGATACCACAAGCCTTCCGTTTTCTAACGGCACGTCCAACAGCTGATTCTAATATATGTAGAAAACAGCCACTGCACATCAGTACTGTTTATTCGAGCAATAGCCCACAATCATACGTTTTTAAATCAATACTGCTTGCTGTTGCAGGTTCCAGTCAAATATAAAGTTTTAATACACAAGTGCTAAGTATTAGATGCAAATCCTATGGTGACTCTGGACATAAAGTTTATGTCCAATAACCTTAATACTACATCACAATGTTGCCAAACTGAAAGAAGGGTGAGAGAGAAAAATAGGGAGATAGTTACCGCTTTATGACATTTGATTGTCCAAGAGAATGAGATAAGTCCAAATCGTAGATAGAAATTAAGATGCGAAGTGTATAAAATCTGCAAATCTAGCAATCATAGCAAATCTATATAAATATTTATGAAATCCAAATATTAACAAGAAAAATCGAAGAAGCCATCTAGCTCCGAAAGTTTGAATATCAATGGCCTAAGGGAATAATCGACATTCAAAAATTCACAAAGTTTTCACAGTAATTAACCTCATCAGTTACAACTGCATTATCATACAATTTCATGTGAAGTTCGTTAATAATTTAATACACGAGATCTTCAGATTTCTTCAATTAAACCGTCAGTGAAAACTTAGAGGCATTCAACAAAGTTATGAAGAGTTTTGTTTTTAAGCGTTTATAACTTTTTAAAAATATTATTATTTCCCGGAAAATCATACATAAGAACAAATCTAATGACAACAATACCAAAAGAAAAAAATAGTTGCTATTTGAAAGAAGATAACCCCTAGCATTATAAACGAAATCACCTCATATGCGGTCAGGTCGTAAATTTACCATCCTTTTTTCAGGGGGGAGAGCTGACGAGGAGGGATAATCTTGCTCGGGTCTTGAGAAATGGGGTGGGGGGCCGTTTAAACATGTTACTTCTCTACATTCAGTTTTATACAGAGGAAAATACAAATTGAATTTTTTCTAATGAATGGAATTTTGTACATTGAAAAATTTATTATTGAATGATAAACTGTAGGCAAATAACATCTTTTTTAAAGCCATAGGGGTAGAAAGACAGATATTTGTTACATGAATGAATTTGTAGTAAATATTGAGTTTTCATTTCGAATGCTATGTTACATGTTGCGAAGTAGCTGAGTATCTGAAAAATAGTCTTCATTTCAAATGGCCTTCAATTTTTTCACGTCTAAAGGACTGTTTTTCAATTACATTGTGGTCGCTGGTTTTTAGTTAGTTTTCTAATGACATATAAACAATAATTTTTTTTTTATTTGAGACTTATGAATAAAATAACGCAAACTAGACTTCAAAAAATTCTTCAGAATGAAGATAAATAATACCTAAAAATACATTATTGGTGCACTTTTAGGTTTTATATGTAGTAGTAGTTAATATGGAATCCTTAAATTATATATATATCTACGTATAGGTATATATAAACGAACAAATATAGAACAAGGTATAAAATATCAAAGAAAAATATCTTTATTATACAATGTTCATTACCATACGTATGTTTACGTAATATCAATATAAATGGGTAGTTAGGTTTCGTAAACATATAATTTATTTTTATATTTTGTATTTTTGTGTTATACATATCTGAAGTTTAATTTTACTTGTTCTTTTTTTGGGTTACGACTTTAAGTGAGAAAGAATTGTTAGGGCATTTATAGGGATTACATTATATGCAATCAGTTAATATCCGACTTTTCCTTTCTTTTAATCATTATATATATTTAAATACTACTTTATAAGTATAACATAAAATATAGCAGTTTTTTAAGCTACTTATTTATATATCTATTGCTTGGTCTGGTTTGTTTCATTATAGCAAAGCATTCGACGGCTATTTGCCTAAGGGTAAGGGATGCCTTATGGAGAGCTTTCTAAAGCAAAAACTGACTCGTATGCACGTTACACATGGGGAAAACCACAAAAACGCCAAATACAGCCAATCCCGTTTCACCGGGATTCGAACCCCGGATCGACCTACCAGCAGTTCAACGATTTTACCGCTCAGCCGGCTAATTGACTCACACACACATCCACAACATATACATTAAATTCATATTTACATGTCTCGTTTATAAAGTATAATTCAGTGGAATTTAATCATAAACATAAAAATAGTCTACGGAATTACTTCACTTCGTAGACTTTTTGTAAGCTTCGCGATATTTTTTAAAGAGAATCTCAATGCTAGTTCCATTTCCAAGCCGTTTATGTACCTTATCTTTTATGCTTTGAATTATATTTAGAGAATATTTCACCTGGTTTATAGTGAAAATGCAGTTTTTTTATTGAAGAATTTAAGGGTAAGAAGAGAATTATGTCCTTTTCTAATTATTCTTGAAGCATTTAATTTTTTTTAAAAAAAGGCACATTAATACGGATCTAACTCGATACAGGACAGATTAATCAGCTACTAAATTTTGATTTTCGTTGAGTAAAAATGAATTCATCTGCATTCTATAAGAAAGCAGATATTTAAAAAATGTTTTTCTATTCTCGCAGTCATAATATTTTTCTTAAATATTCAGCTAATTCATATTCAAATACTCCAATCCATTACAATTAGTAATAAAGCGATATAGTAAATAAATAATTAAAATCATTAAATGGAATTTTATTACCATTTCCCTCTGATGATAAACCCCTCTTTAGAGTTCAATAACAGTCGATCAGCTTTTGTTGGGGTTCATTTTTCTTTATGGTATTCTTACGTTATATATGTATGTATTATGTATTGCTCATACTCGCAATGCAACTTTTAATATCTCTTGGAAAAAAAATCAGCATGGGAATCCAGAAAATGATTCTTAGTGACTCTAAAACTATTATTACTAGGCATTGTCATTGCACAGTGTTTAAAAAAAATCCCATTGTTTAAAGGTAGATCCTATGCTCATATCCTAGTCTACAATTAAAAGCTGCGAGTCAAAATTAAGGGGGTTGCTCTTAAGAAGCCTTAATTAGAAGTAGTTATAGGAAATGTTAATCAATACTTATTATCTTATGGATTAAACACTTACTCCCTATTTGATCACGTGTATGGCAAACGGATATTCGTCAATCATAAAGAAAAGAAAGCTGAAGCAAAATGAACTATATTCTTGTTTTTCCAACTGCAAAACCATCTTAAACTACTATCGGATTTATCTTTAAATTATTCCAATAATAATCAGAACAATGGGGGCCACTATTCTTAACTATAATTTATTAATGCAAATCCTATTTTGCTTTCAAATGCCTTTCATTAATTACATTAATGATATGGATATTTACTAATTATTACTATTACTAAAATAGTTGTAATACTTTATTACTGATATGTTTATGTACTATTATTAAAAAACGTATTTATTAATGTATTAATAAATTTATTATAATTAATAATATTAATTATTTATTTATTAATAAACCAAAAAAGTGCATACTAATATTATTAAGCTGTTTAATAAATCCATAAAAGAGCACTTCAAAACTTTCATATCCTATGTAATTTGTCTCCATTCCGGTACCGTGTGCATCCTTGTACGCGTTACTGACTTACAGTGAAAAACAGAGGAGAGCTCCATTCAAGATTTTATTCCTGATCTACTGATACTGAATGAGACCTAAAAACACTTTTGTTTTTAAATATATCTCCCCTTATGATCCCTGGCACAGCCGTTTACTTCCCCTTCCGTAATTAACGTCGTCTCCTGCTCTTGACCGCATTTGCCAAGCCACCTTATAAACAATATTGCTCAAAATTTTTTTGTTCAGGTTAATTTAAAGTTTGTTCATACAATTAACTTGGTTCCGGATCCTTTTTGTCCGTTGTGCGACTCTGGAGAGAATTTTTACATTTCTCACCTTGCCTCCTGTTTTGCTTTACCTTCTAGGGTTTATATTTATTTTAACTAACATTTATTTTAAGTTTAAACTATCTTTCCTGTCAAGCCTTACTTTCCCCTGGAACTGCCAATGCCAGAGTATGTAAATTTTAGTAGAACGCACAAGGATTCAAATTATCAGCGGAAGTATTCTGAGTTAAATAGAAAGGAAACGAGT